CTTGAACACTATTATTTAACTGTTTTAAAATTCTTGTCAATAATTTCTAATATCTGGGTCATCTTGGGGTTGTCTCCATTGTCTTTTCTCCTGAAGATGAGCCTTATTTCCCAGTTTCTTCATATGTCAAATAATTTTGGATCTTTGTCTAGATATTATGAATGACATGTTGTAGACTTTGGATTTTGCTATATTCATCTGAAGAAAGTTTTGTTTTAGCAGGTGATTAGCTCAACTGTATTTGACTGGAGTTTATATATAGAATATATATAAACTACCCTTCTTTGGGGAAGAAGGCTCCCCTTCTTTGGCTTTTTCCTTTTCAGGATTTCCCCCTCACTTTCCAATGGGTGTAGTTGCTCCAGATTCTGTCCTTGTGGTTTTTAAAGCCAGAAAAACTGAGAGGACCAATCCTTCTGATGCAGACTAGGGACTTCCTTCACCTCTCAGAAGCAAAATTGCCATAACTTCTCTACTCTTATTATAGATACTAAACTCTAGATTTGAATTTAGAGCAAATGGTACTTATTTCTGGCATCGATGCTGATGTGCAAAATGACTTGGAGCAGTCGCTTCACTATCCCATTCACTGTTAGAGAAGGGAGTGCTAATTTGCTAATTTCGTCTAACGTGATGCCTTGATAACTGGCCTTCTTAAACTGTTACAACTAATAATATTGATCACAAGGAATCTTGATGTAAAAACTCTTTTAGACCAAAAACAACAAATTATAAGGTAGTTCATGAGTGAATGGCTCTCTTTAGAAGTTTCTCTGCTCATCTTTATATACTTTACATTCTTGGGAAATATAATAATTTATTAAGTTGAAAGTGCTCTAGGCTTCCAAACATTCAAACTTTGCTCTGATTTCCCAGGGAAACAGGTGTTTTCTTAACAGTGTATTCATCAAGCTTGTAAAAAAAAAAAAAAAAAAAAAAAAAAAAAAAAAAAAGTTTGAACCAGGAAAAAGACCTCACATATTTTAAAGTTAATGTTACATAAAGCAAACTAATAGCTATTATTACTCTTTGATTCATCTTTTTCCAAAAATCACTTTTTTTACGCATTTTTTAAAAACTTTTCATTTATTATTTTTTTTGTTTGTTTATTTTTGAGAGAGAGAAAGAGAGAGAGAACAGGCAGGCACGAGCAGGGAAGGGGCACAGAGAGAGGGAGACACAGAATCCAAAGCAGGCTCCAGGTTCTGAGCTGTCAGCACAGAGCCTGATACAGGGCTTGAACCCACAAACCATGAGATCATGACCTGACCTCCAAATGCAGATGCTCAACTGACTGAGCTACCCAGATGCCCTGTTTCCAGAAATCACTTTGATCATGCATAAATACATATTACTAAAAGGCATTGATCAACTGTATACTAAATGTGAGTTTTCTCTGACTTTTGTATCACCACGGATCCTTTCTGTAACCCATTTCGTAACAGATCGTAAAACAGAACTAACCTAGCAAAAGATAGCTAAAATAAAAAGCTTCATGGGGCACCTGGGTGGCTTAGTCGGTTAAGCATCTAACTCTTAATTTCAGCTCAGGTAATGATCTCACAGTTTGGTTCGTGAGATTGAGCCTCACTGTTAGTGCAAAGCCTGCTTGGAATTCTCTCTGTCTCTGTCTCTCTCTCTCTCTCTCTCTCTCTCTCTCTTTCTCTGCTTCTCCCTCGCTCATGCAGGTACACACACGCATACACACACACACACACACACACACACACATACACACACACTCTGTCTCTCTCTCAAAATAAATAAATAAACTTAAAAACCTCATAACTGTTTGGGCTCTATTCACCCAGTGCCATGACAGAAATGGGTTTTTTTAGTAGGAAAGTATGAGAAGTAATAACTCATTTATGAGACAGAAGAAAAAGAATGAAATTTTATTTAAGAGATCATGTTTTAAATTTTTTTATTTTCTCCACATCATATAGCATATAGTAAGCATTCACATGACAAGTTGAATTGATGTTTGATTGATTCCCATGTTATACCCTTAACAAATTATCTAAATAAAAATATTTTAAGAAAAGATTTCCGAACTGAGAAATTCTGACAAAACATTCTGTCACCATGCCCCCACACAAAATCTATTAATACATACTTTTTAAAAAAAAATTTTTAAAGAATGCCTATTTTTAGTAATAGTTTACATATAATAACATAGTATTTAGACTATGCTATTATTAATCACTAATGAAAAGATGATATAGCATCAGCTAGTTAATTTTACCTAAAAACATTCCTTTTTCCCAGTCACTTACACACACATTCTCAGCACCACACTTTTGAAGCTGATATACACAATTTCCACCACAGGAAGGATATAAGCTGCAATATTTATAGCCACAGGCAAAATGTAAATCATGGCAGGTCCTGATGCAGATTTTCAGTTCTGGTTCACTGCTACTGAAAATTCTTCATTTCTTAGAATTAGGCAGATAAAGTGAATTGTGTATTGCCTTCAAGACAATGATGAAAAGTATTCTTTTCTTTTGAGAGAAAGAGTGTGTGCAGGGGAGGAGCAGATAGAGAATCCTAAGCAGGCTCCACACCCAGCACAGAGCCATATGTGGGGCTGACCACGAGATCTTGACCTAAGCCAGAATCAAGAGTCGGATGTTTAACCAACTGAGCCACCCAGGCCCCCCTAAAAATGTTCTGATTATCTTGGATTCAATTTAAAGTCTAAAAATCTTCAACCTAAACAATTGAAAAATCCATTGTATGGGAATGCAAGCTGGTGCAGCCACTCTGGAAAACAGTATGAAGGTTCCTCAAAAAATTAAAAATAGAACTACCCTACGACCCAGCAATTGCACTACTAGGTATTTATCCAAGGGATACAGGTGTGCTGTTTCCAAGGGACACATGCACCCCCATGTTTATAACAGCACTATCAACAATAGCCAAAGTATGGAAAGAACCCAAATGTCTGTTGATGGATGAATGGATTAAGAAGATGTGGTATATATATACACACAATGTAGTATTACTCGGCAATCAAAAAGAATGAAACTACGTGGATGGAACTGGAGGGTATTATGCTAAGTGAAATTAGTCAGAGAAAGACAAATATCATATGACTTCACTCATCTGAGGACTTTAAGAGACAAAACAGATGAACATAAGGGAAGGGAA